ATAAAGCATTACAGTAATCTAGTCTCGAGGTCATGAATGCATGAACTAACTTTTCTGCATCGGAAACAGATAGCATGTTACGTAATTTAGCAATGTTTCTAAGATGGAAAAAGGCTGTTCTTGTAACATATGAAATATGATTTTCGAAAGACAAGTTGTGGTCTAGTATAACTCCCAGGTCTTTTACCGTAGAGGATAAAGTAACAGGACATCCTTCTATATTAAAGTTGTATTGTAAGTGGTTTTGTGGATAGTTTTTTGGACCAACAAGTAATACCTCCGTTTTATCTGGATTTAGTAGCAGGAAATTATGCGTCATCCAGCATTTTATATCTTTAAGACACTCTGTCAATTTTGATGAGTTAGTGTTTTCATCTGGCCGTGATGAGTGTCATCAGCATAACAGTGGAAATTAATTCCATGTTTTCTTATAATATTACCAAGTGGCAGCATATATATTGAGAATAGCAGAGGGCCTAACACCGATCCTTGCGGCACTCCATAGTCTACTGACGTTATCTTCGATTTTTCCCCATTTAAACAAACAAAATTGTAACGGTCTGATAAATACGATCTGAACCAGCTTAATGCCTGTCCCTGAACACCAGTGTAGATTTGTAGTCGATCCAAGAGTATTTTATGATCGATAGTGTCAAACGCAGCACTAAGATCGAGTAGAACTAATATTGAGATACAGCCTTGGTCAGAAGCTAAAAGTAAATCATTTGTAATTTTAACTAGCGCAGTTTCTGTGCTATGATGCGGTCTGAATCCTGACTGAAATTTTTCATATATCTCATTTTCTTGCATGAAAGAGCACAATTGAGCGGACACAGTCTTTTCTAGTATTTTAGACATAAATGGAAGATTTGAAATCGGTCTGTAATTTGCTAAGTTATTTGGATCTAATTGCAGTTTCTTAATGAGAGGTTTTATTACTGCCAGCTTGAATATTTTTGGAACATGACCTAAAGATAAAGACGAGTTAATAATATTAAGAAGAGGCTCTTCCACTACAGGTAACACTTCTTTCAGAAATTTAGTTGGTATTGGATCTAATAAACATGTTGTAGGTTTAGATGCAATGATAAGTTTATTTAGCTCTTCCTGTCCTATAGTTGTAAAGCGGTGTAGTTGTTCTTGAGGGGCGATAATTGAGGCTGAATCATAAGACACCATAGAGGATTGTAGATTTACAATTGTGTTTCGGATGCTTTCTATTTTCTCATTGAAGTAGTTCATAAAATCATTACAGCTATACTGTAACGGAATAATTTGCTCGGGTGATGTCTGTTTATTTGTTAGTCTAGCCACGGTGTTAAATAAAAACCTTGGATTATTTTGGTTATTTTCTATTAGTTTGCGGAGATGCTCTGCCCTGGCTGCTTTTAGAGCTTTTTTATAACATGACATACTGTCTTTCCACGCGATTCTAAAGACCTCTAAATTAGTTTGTTTCCATTTACGCTCTAGGTTACGAGTTTCTCTCTTGATAGCATGCGTAGCACTGTTGTACCATGGTGCTTTACTTTTCTCTCTAACCTTTTTTGATCTAATTGGTGCAACAATATCTAATGTACTAGAGAAAATGGTGCTCAAACTGCTAGTCATTTCCTCTAGTTCATCTGTTTGTTTGGGTTCTCTGAGCAGCTGAGATAGATCAGGTAAGCTATTTGAGAATCTATCTATAGTGGTCGGAAGGATTGTTCTGCCTGGTCTATAACGTGGCGCAACATGACAAATTTCAGCAGTGCGTATTATACAAGTTACCATGTGATGATCGGTGAGATCGTCACTTTGCGGTATAATATCTATATCGGTTAGATTGGTTCCATATGATATAATTAAATCTAGTGTATGATTTAGACGATGAGTGGGACCACTGACATTCTGCTTGACCCCAAAGGAGTTTAATAAATCTGTAAACGCAGTCCCTAACGCATCGTTTGTGTTATCTACGTGTATGTTAAAATCTCCAACAATTATTGCTTTATCGGCATTGACCAATAGATCTGAGAGAAAGTCTGCAAACTCTTTTAGGAAATCAGCATATGGTCCTGGAGGTCTATATACAGTAGCCAAGGCTAGAGATAATAGGGATTTATTTCTTACATCTAAGAGCGTAACGTTTAGCACAAGTACTTCAAACGAGTTAAACCTGTGACCTGTTTTCTGAGTAACATTAATAATATCTCTATAGATTGTTGCAACACCGCCGCCACGACCGATCAGACGGGGCTCATGCTTATAACAGTATCCTGGCGGGGTAGACTCATTTAGACCGAAATACTCGTTTGGTTTAAGCCAGGTTTCAGTAAGGCAAAGTACATCGAAGCTATTATCTGTGACCATTTCATTTACAATAACCGCCTTAGGTGTGAGCGATCTAATGTTTAGAAGACCTAGTTTTAGAAATTGTTTTTGTTCACTGATATTTAGATTTTCAGGTTTAATTACAATAAGATTTTTCCTAGATCCTACAGTGGATTTATTATTTGGCCTCACTAAACGAGGAATAGACACAGTTTCTATATAATGTTCTACACTACTTATATCAATTAAATTGGCACAGCAAAGACTGTGATTTGGAATTAGATTTTCTAGTCATACGGTGTGTAACGTCTTGGAGATGTTGTCCGACAGAACAGCCGCTCCGATTCTGCTGGGGTGCAGGCCATCAGCACGGTAGAGCCTAGGTCGCTCCCAGAACAGATTCCAATTATTTACAAAGAGCAGTTTTTGTTCATTACACAATGACATTAACCATTCATTTAGTGCAAATAATCTACTGAACCTTTCCTGTCCTTGTCGGTACGTGGGAAGCGGTCCAGACACGATGATCGTTGCCTCAGGCGCTGTGCTGCGTACCGTCTCGATCAGGCTCCTGTAGTCCTTCTTCAGAACCTCCGTCTGCCGCAGCCTGATGTCGTTTGTTCCAGCGTGAAGCACCACAGCTCCGACGCGCTCTTCACCGTTCAGGATCTCGGGAACCTGTGCGGCGACATCAAGAACACGAGCACCAGGAAGGCAGTGAGTGCGCACCTTACCCTTACCCGAGGTAGCACGGACATGACGGACCATGGAAGTGCCGATGATCACGGCGTCGTCGCGTTCCGACTCGCGAAGAGGGGAGAAGCGGTTCCGGGTGGAGATCTCGAAGACCGGGAGGGGCGGAGAGGTTCTTGCTCTGGTCCTGGCTCGTGTCTTCCGCTGTGGGATCACCCAGGGTCCATGGTGTTGGGTTGGTGCCGGAGTGAATGATGCCAGAGATGATCGCGTCCTCCTGGGCAGAGAAACGCACGGAGTAGACGAAGTCGGAGTCAAAAAGTTACTAACCACTGACTTGTGTGCATCGGCGCGTGACGTTTCAAGCGCTGATCGCCGATCCCGCAGCTCGGCTTGCCTCTCTAGCAGACCACGGATCTGTTTCTCCACCGAATCAAGCTCCAATCGTACCGAAATCAGTTCGAATGTGTCCTCACCTGCACTCAGAGGTAACGTTAGACACACATCTGATATGTTCGCCATAACAGATGAACAGTAGATTAGTAGTTATACTACCAATATCACTAGTAATTTAGGACTGAAATGCCGGATATAACCTGTATCCTTTCAGTGAAACGGGTGTAAAATCAGACGGTCAATAGGCGCGAGGCCACGCGTGAAATGCTAGCGGACTAAAGGCTAGTAGCCGAGATTCGCAAAGTTGGGTCTAAGTAGCGATATCAAAGCAATCCGATTGTTTTTTATAAGGAATAGTATCGAGGATAAGTTCCCATGATATAAAAATAGAAAGTGCTTGTTTATAAATGAGTGGTAAAGAAGAAAATCAAGGATTAATGAATTGATTCGACGGAGCTTTCAAACACAAACACCGACTGCTCGCGCATGCGCAAAAGAGTGTAAATATTAAATGGTATAAAATATTAAAAGGTCTGACCCTAGAGACACCAAGATTCCTGACTTGATTTTTAGTTGTTAGACCCCTAGCGTCAAGGTATGCATTCACCTTGAGAACTTCATCTTTGTTTCCAAACACAATGACTTCAGTTTTGTCTTTGTTTAGCTGAAGAAAGTTTTGGCACATCCAACTGTTTACTTCATCAATGCATTGGCACAGAGAGTCAATGGGGCTGTAGTCGTTAGCCGATAGGGCTAAGTAGAGCTGTGTGCCGTCTGCATAGCTGTGGCAAGCAATTTGGTTCTTTCTCATTATTTGGCTCATTGGGAGCATGTACAGGTTGAATAGGAGTGGTGCAAGAATTGAGCCTTGAGGGACTCTGCATGTCATGGATGTCCACTCAGACCTATGGTCTCCTATACTCACATAATAACCTCTCCCTTCTAAGTATGACCTGAACCATTTTAGGACTATCCCAGAGAGCCCCACCCAGTTTTCCAACTTGTCAAGAAGTATGTCGTGATCGACAGTGTCAAATGCATCACTGAAGTCGAGTAGTACCAGTACTGATAATTTGCCTGTATCAGTATTTAAGCGAATATCGTTTATTATCTTTATGAGTGCTGTCTCTGTGCCGTGATGCGTAAAGTACCGTTTTTGAAGAGTGCGCATGAGAACGAGCCTATGATTGAATTTGGAAATAAAGCTAAATAACTGAGTAAAATGAGAATTAGCCCTCAGATGCCATGTCCCTAATTTATAGCAAAACATCTAGCATTAATAAGATCTCCAACGGATCCATTAAAAGTAGTTATTACTCCACCACCAGCGTTACACTATTAACCAAAGTGGTTGAACAACAAATTTGCAACAAAACGGTTTCGGGAAACAGTCGTGACTAGCTAGTTGATTTCTTCAATGATGCATCGTACTATGGTAGTTAAGCAGCAAGTTATGTCGTTGTACTAGAAACTCACCCCTGGTTGGGCCACAGACATGAATGATTCCTCAAAACAGAGGGTGTGTTTGCAGCCGTTTTCTTATTGTTTTTCTTACATGTCTTCTTATATTCTCATCAATGTCTTATTATTCATTTTAGGCACCAAAAGCAGATGTTCTCCCATCTCTTTTCGGCCCCCGAGCATCGAGCCTAGTCGGCCTGGCTCGTCAAACCGCCCACTGTCTCGTGTCGCCCAGGAGATCAGGGAGGTCCAGACTGTGGAGCACCTCGATCTCCAGGACTCTGATGAGGATGAGGAGGATTGCCTGGCTCTGGCCTGCCTTGAAGAAGAGTTCAGAAATATGAGCACTACACCATTAGATCAGGGTGAGGAGACTTAGTGACTAAGACTTGTCTGGACTGCAGTTACTCAAATTAAGGATTTTGATTATTTACATTTTTTTTAACAATTATTAAAAAATTCAGTGTAATACCGTATAAATAAAGGACAAGAAGATATAAAAGATAGATCTGTAGCTGTGTAGTTAGTCTATAAAACGGCCTTTATAGCCATTAATAGCCATTATTGGGTGCAGATTATTAGAATAACACCTCCAGACATATGTTCAAATATAAGATTTTTCTTTTTTTATTGTTATATTGGAAACTGTCACTAATTGTTAAGGGCTTTCAAATGCTGCATTGTGCAAAAATAAAATGTTAAAAAATGTGTATATGAATTCTGAAACTTACTGCTGTTTGTTACTGAGTAAAAAACAAATTTATTTCTGATATGTACTCAAATCCATATCCTTTTCATAAGAACTGCAGTAAAATATGGTACAATATGGTAACACTTTATAATAACAACTATATCATTTTAAATATTATATACTGTACATAATAAAATACATTTTATATATACTATTAGATTTGTTTAATGTTTTTAAAGCTCACCAATGTTTTTAAGGCTTATGCTCACCAATTAAAAATACAGTACAGTAATATTGTGAAATATTGCAGTGTTTTTTTAATTTGAATGTATTTTAATGTGCCCCTATTATGGTTTTTCGAATATTCCCTCTCATGCTGTGTGTAATATAGCTGTTTGTGAATGTAAACGTTCTGCAAAGTTGTAACGTCGAAAGTGCACGAAAGATAAATAGTTATTGTCTCCCAAAAGAAAGAATTGACTCTGAACCGCCAGTACGAGTCGTTTTTCATTCGAATCCTACTGCCCGCGAACAAATTGACCAGCTCACAACAGGTCGTTTTACTGACAACTGCTTCTCAAATCTCAGAGTTCAATGCGGGATTCGCAAAACGCTTGCTCTAGAAAGATGGGTCAGTGCTTAGTTTATTTGGACTAGCTTGCTCATGTGATGCTAACCGGCTAACTCACGTTATTACTGTGAGTGTCTTACTGAAATACTTCTGCTAAGCAGCTGTGGGCCACTATTACCTAAAACTGTGTCTATTAATGCAGAATGTCTGTCATTCTTACTACTTTGAGTAAAGATAAAGGATGGAGCAAGATTTGTTTTACAAACGTTTGTTACATCAGTCATTCACATTAGTGCTCCGCAAACATATGCACCGTTATTTTTATAGTTCCTGCATGTACACTGCAATAAATTAGAAATATAAACATCAGTTTGTTGATGGACATACTCTTGTTAATGCTGATGGGAGGAATTACAGTTGCAACATCTCATAATGTACCTCAAACTGAGTAGGGTATCACTAAGAAATGTCCTGCTGAAGTCGTCCTTGCGATGGAGGTTCTGGTTGAATAACTAGTTCTTCCAATGTTTCATCATCGGACTCGCACTCTGATTGATATTGTAAAATTGGTGTCATTGTTACTGTCTTTACAGTTCAATCACTGAGCTTTAGGAAGTGTCCAGACAGAGCTGATGTTCAGTTATGGTAATGGCGTGTAGCTTCCGGCAGGCGCTGTGTGCGGTAGACCAATGACAACAGACTGGGCCGTCTGGCCAATCAGAGCAGAGTAGCTCTCGGAAAGGAGGGATTTAGAGAGACTGAATCATCCATCGAGTTGTTTGAGAATCATTGAAAAATGTGGTGATGTGCAATGTATATTATGAGAAAATTCATCCTGTTTTTTTACTTTTGATGTATGCAAACCTGTTGTTGAAACCTCCAAAACAGAATTAGGAGCCTTTAAAATAGCATAATAGGGGCACTTTAAAATGTAATTTATTCCTGTGATGGCAAAGCTGAATTTTCAGCATCATTACTCCAGTCTTCAGTTTGACATGATCCTTCAGAAATCATTCTAATATGCTGATCTTGGGTATGAAATATGAAACCATCTCGGGTTAGGACGGTAATCCTTGTTCCCTGAGAAGGTACAACACTTTGGGGAATGCCCCCAGTGAAGCGCGTCTGAAGTATGAATGAAAATAATCCAATCCAATCCAGTTCGCACTTACATAGATAGAATAAATGCGTATTTGGTGTGCTGTCCGAGGAGAGGGTTCCGGGTTAGGTATTCGGCCCGAACCCAGAGTACTCCCCCCGTATTCCTGGCTGTGAAAGAATAAGCCAAGAGTGAGGAGTCGGGGTGGTGGAGGGATGCTGAAACTATCAAGGAATGTTAGGTGAGTTGACAGAGTGAATATATATATACTTCCTCTCGTGCTGATGGGGTAGACATGGTAATTGTTTAATGACAAGTTGATTGGAATGATTGTTTGAACGTGTTCCTCCCGAACTTTGTTTATAAAACATCATTTGGTGCTGCAGCATGACGGCAGTGACGGCATACACGGAAGCTACAAAGGGACGCCGGCACACAACAGAGTTAGCTTCTGCGATGAAGCAAGTCGCTCAAAGGCAGGGGGAGGCATAGCGAAGGGACGCAGTGTCTCATTCCCTTCTCAGGGAACAAGGGTTACAGTCGTAACCCGAGACGTTCCCTTTCGAGGGAACTCGCACTGCGTCGATACGACACTTTGGGAAACGAGTACCCACTATGCCACAATGCCATGCCTCTGGTTGAATGAGCCTTCTCGGCCAAAGGTGAAGGCAAGCTGCGCACCTGATTCATCAGAATTAAATGCAGCCATAATAAACAGACAAGTGAAACATGGTCTGAATGGTAGGCTGAATTAAAATATTTAACTCAAAGTCAGATAATATTCCACCATTTTAATTCATCAGAATTGAATGCACCCATAAACACCAGACAAGTGAAACCCAGTCTGAATGATAGGCTGAATAAAAATATCTAACTCCTCAAAGCCGGATAATATTTATACTGTACACCGGTCTCGTGATCTACGTTGCCTCGACAACGCGAGATAAGAGCCATTCAAAATACATATCGGCTTTCTTCCCTCGAGAAGAAAGTCAATAGGCGCGAGGCTGAAACACCCGGAAGCGCACGTCTTTTTCTTTTGCTGTACGCTTCGAGATATTTCTCAATGAACACAGCCAGCACCCTCAAGAGCTGACTATGCATGCCTCGCATCCAAACAGTATCACACACCGATCACGTGTGTCACCTCCCGAAGTTTAACGGGGGCAGGAAGACACACGCTTTCAGCTGTGCTTATGGTAACAATTCAAGTTCCCACAGGACAAACAACATAAAATATGACAGACAGTTGTACACAGTGGCCGGCTGAAGAGCAAAAAGCGAACTCTGTTGTGTGCCGGCGTCCCTTTGTAGCTTCCGTCTATGCCATCACATGTTACGTCATGACGCAGCACCAATCAGGATTGGATTAGTTTCGTTCATACTTCAGACGCTCTACGCTGGGGGCATTCCCCAAAGTGTCGTATCGACGCAGTGCGAGTTCCCCTGAAAGGGAACAGTTGTGCTGCTTAATTTTTGTGGAAACTATGATACATTTTTTCAGGATTCTTTCATGAATATTAAGTTCAGCATTTATTTAAAATAAAATTATAATAGTAAAATTATTAATGACTTTACTGTCACTTTTGATTCATTTACTGCAAATATTGAATGTACATGCATCAGTAAGAATGTTTGTTAATAACTTTAATGAATGATTTATGAAAGGCCTTTTAATGTGTTACCTAAAACATTAATATGTTTTGATTTTTCCCTAGCACACACTTATGTGCCTAACCGCCTGTGTGTATGATGAGAGATTCAGAGATGCACGTGTCCCGCAAAACAGCACACACCATGCGCTGGGTACCTGCTACTGTGGCATCTCGCTCATTAGATCCCCATATTAGAGTCAGCTCATTAGTGTTCAGTCTGCACACTCATTAAAAAACCCTCTCTAGCCCAGCACATGCGTTCAGCCTTGATTAATTTGCTTATTTCAGCATTCATTCACATCCCGTAGGTGAACAGAGTCAGACACACTTATACGCTTACACTAACACAACTGCTGAGACCCACCGCAGAGGTGCACCTCTCATGCGCACACACATGAAAATCTAGCTAAATCTAGCCAGATTTCATCTTCTCTTCAAAGATTACTGCCGATATCTCTGCTATGTTTTTTTTCTCATTCGCTTTTAAAAGAGATTCAGCAATTTAGTAATGACATACAGATACCTTGAGTGGACATCTTTGTGTATTTTTCATAATGTTTTTATAACCATAATTCTTTTGGAAAGTTGTATTTTCTAAGTTGTTTCAGTTGGATGATTGGCAGCCAAATAAAAACATAACAAAATGTAATGGTAAAGCATAATGACGTGCACTACCATTGAAAAGTTTGGGGTCAGTAGGGTTTTTAAATGTTTTTGAAAGACGTTTCTTCTGTTCACCAAGGCTGCATTTATTTAATCAAAAATTCAGTGAAAACAGTAATATTATGAAATACTAATACAGTTAAAAACGGAAAAAAAAATTGAAATATAATTTTATTCCAGTGAAGAAGGCAAAGCTAAAAATCATTCAGAAATCACTCTAATATGCTGATTTGCTGATGTTGAAAATAGTTGCACTGCTTAATGTTTGTGGAAAGTGATACTTGTAACGATGCGGGAAGAATGAAGCGAGAAGTGAATCCAATTGCAAGCACATTTATTAACAAAAGAAACTCAGACCAGGAACACGGAAACAGCAACCATTACAACATTAAGAACTCACAAGGACTGAACTAAAACACAGGGCTTAAATACAGAGGACCGGGTGAGTGAAACAAGACACAGCTGGGCAATTAACTAAGAACACACAGGTGGAAAACATGAACACAAACGAGGAGCGGGAAAACTAGACAGGACTAAACCAAATACACAATAATGGGGGGAACACAAGACAGACAGGAACAAGACATGAACCCACACCGTGACAATACTTTTCTGTCAGGATTCTTTGATGAACAGAAAGTTAACAAAAAAACAACAACAACAACAACTGTTAAGTGTATGTATGTATGTTTGTTTAACAAGTGTATGTTAAAAGGTAGTCTACAATAAAACACCCTAAAATGTTTTCTTGGTA